ATTTCATCATTTACAATCACACGACTTCGACACTTGAGTTTTATAGTTTTCTTTTTTCTCTCCTATTTGTTGCCATTCGGGTAGTAGAATTTTCCAGATATCTGGGTGGACAGGTGTTGAATCATTCCTATTACACGTATCCAGTCTCAATTGATTCGATAAACAAAGCTTCTGTTATCAATCTCTCCCTCCTTTCTGTTATATTAGATTTCATTTTAAAACTGTCATCTTATCCAATCCAGCCTATTGTATGGTTGTGTGTGATTGCGTGTAGTGAGTGATATAGCTGAACTATTCTCCAGATTTCTTATCTTGTTAGAGTCAACTAATCTAGATTTTGCTAGGTTCTTATGCTCTGCTAGTCTGACTGACCGAATAAGATAAGAAATCTGGAGAATAGTTCAGCTATATCACTCACTACACGCAATCACACACAACCATACAATAGGATGGATTGGATAAGATGGCAGTTTTAAAATCTAATGTAACAGCAGGGTGGAGGGAGAGATTGATAACAGAAGCTTTGTTTATCGAATCAATTGACAGGGAATACGTGTAGTAGGAATGATTCGACACCTGTCCACCTGGACATCTGGAAAGTTCTACTACCCCAACAACGACAAATAGGAGTGAACAAAGAAAACTATAAGACTCAAGTTTCGAAGTCGTGTGATTATAATTGATGAAATGATTATGAACAATAACAGATTGTGTTCGAAACTTTGTCATCTATTAAATAATACTGTTTCACTGACTGTGTGATACATCGAATAAACGAACTAATATGGAATTGTAAAGAAGAAAAGACCAAGGAGGCTGAAGGGAATGTTTGTTAGGTGAAACGTATTGTGCATAGGTAAATTTGGTATACTATATTTTCAAACTGCCATTTGCACATCATTTACCACATCCTTGACGAATTGGTCGAATATCGTCACATTCGATAGCTTCTTGGATTCTGCATCATATAGCAACAGTCTTCTCATGGTTCTCTTCTTTGATTGCTCTTTCTAGTGTGCAAAACATATTGTTACTTTTCTGAATTCGTTTCTGATATACTACTTATATCGGATTATAAGTAGCAGTCACCACAGAATTACCTACTACCACAGTTCACAAGTTTTACAGATATATTAAGAAGAATCTGTTCATTTATTTTCTGTCCTTTGTAATTTCTGCAGCGATTAGATTGATTTCCTGGGATAGGGTCGTTGGTCTCAAGCCCCAACCTATCCCCTATTTCCAGAATTAGAACCAACTGGTAAATTACTAAATGAGAAGGGACATCACATTGTGTAACAACCAAAGTAAGAATTCATGGACTATTGGATTCTGTCCCGGTGGTTGAATGGTACATGAAGTTAACTTGTAACCAGAAGGACTAGTGTTCCACCCCCCTCAGTGGTGGGTGCATACTGACAATGAGTTTCGAACTAGTCTGACGAAACAGCTGTCCAGTACTTCAGCAGTGGTTTTCAATGGTCCTCTAACTAACATATCATTAAGTTCAAGGACTAGAAAAATCTGCTTGGAAGACATGATGGAGAAAGAATTAAATTTATTACGTGAAATCCTACTAGAGAACGGATCTCCATCAAGATTCATAGACAAAAACAGGAAATAGAAGCCTCCGCCACCTAAGAATAATCTATTCATGAATCTGCAATTCAAAGGTGACATCGCAGCAGAAATTCTTAGAAACAGCATTTCTAAATATCTGAAGAAGACATTTCCAGCAACCACCTTACGTATCGAATTCACCAGAAGACAGTTAATCCAGTCTAACGTTAAGCATAAGGTCACTTCAATGTGTATTTATCAATTTATTTGCTCGTGTGGAGCAAAGTATATCAGCCGTACGCAATGTCATGTCCACAAACGTATTCTGGAACACTGTTCAGGTTGGGTAGCCAGACAGAGGAGAAAAGAAGAATAGCAACAGCTCTATTTTCGAACACCTTGTCATCTCCAGACATTGAGCACTCCCACTTGTATGAATGCTTCACAGTGCTGCACAGAGTCCCTCAATATCGTACAAAGGGACTTCGAAAAAGCTATCTGTACATAGCTGAAGTATTAGCTATTCGGAATCTGAGACCGGACCTCTGCATTCAAAAGCGATACATACATTCACTAGCCCTACTGTGACCAGAGTAACGTTCTTACTACAATTTTGCTTCTTTTTATTATGTAAGTTTACTAATATTATTGTTATTACAACTATTATTTCATTATCATTATTATTCCCATCAACGATATTTTATTATCACTCTACCAATGTTTGTGAATAACATTGCTTTTTCATACAAAATTTATCGTCTTTCCAATAGTTCTTGTCCATTCCACACAGTCTTACTGATCAGTCATTTTCTCACACTTACGACGTCATGCTAATTTCTGCCTCTTTTCATACTTCCAATCAGTCACCCCGTCTAGGTTACACCTTAGACTATGTAATACATTTTTCGAGGACAGAGCTTACCAGTATCTGATTGGTCTAATGATTTCTTTGTTAAATATAATTATGATTATACATCATCTTACGAAAATGAATCGTCGAAAAGAAAATTTTCTCCTTCGCTGTTTACGTCTTTTTTTCTTATGACTCAATATCGGAGGGAATGTTTCGTTCATAAATGATATCAATCCATAGGCGAACTTGAAACGAATAAACTTTCTATAAACATTTATCTTAGTTGATGGGAATGCAAACATAGACGAATTGTTGATGAAATTCAACAACATCCACCCTTCGCTTACTTTTACTTGTGAAGAGGAGCTGGAGAGTAAACTACATTTTCTGGAAGTCTTGTTAAGTAGGCGAGAAGATAGGTCACTTACGAGAAGTGTGTATAGAAAAGCACATTCACAGGGCAATACACACACTTCCTTCCTTAGTTACGTGCCCATTAAATATGAAAGAAATTTTATTAAATGTCTTACGAGCAGAGCAAGAAAGATATGTACGGATGACCACGTACAAAAGGAATTTGAATATATTCATGGATTCCTTGACGGAGATGGGCTATTCGAGTAGCTTCATAAAGAAACATATGAAAATATTGGAGAGAAAACCTGAGACTCTGACTGCACATAAAAACTTCCATTTATTAAGTTACACTTTAATGGTGACTTATCAAGTATGATTTTATTCCAGAGACTTTCCAAGAGTAAACGAAGAACGTTTTCTGCGCAGCATACCTATGCTTGTCATTCTCTATCCGACGAATGACTGGGACGCAATCGAAGGATAAGCTAGATAGTTTTGCCACATCTATGTGCATTTATCAATTCAACTCCATCTGCGGTGACAGTTATGTTGGGCGTACTACTAGACAGCTTAGCCAACGTGTTAGTGAACACCTCCCATCGTGGTTTGGCAAAGGACAGACAAAAACAATCCGTAGCTCAATTTTGTCACATTTAGTTGATAGTGGTCATGTAGTAGAGAAAACGAGAGCTTTCAAGGTGGTGCAGCGCTTCTCACCGAATCTTTCCAATAGACTTCGTATTCGTCTACTGCACACAACTGAGGCGATAGACATTCGAACTATCAAACCTAAACTATGCATTCAGAAGAAGTTCGTAAAGCCATTATCCCTCCCTTGGCCTATTTAGACATAACCAACTGATGACGCTACAACCACCCCTTACTTATATTTTCAACTCCTTTCTTATCATCCCTTAATCTTGTCTTTATTATAAACGTGTTTCATTTCCTTCCCGTACAATCTAATATTACTTAATAGGTCCATTTGTTTTATCAGCCTTTACCGACTACTGTATTTACCTAGGCATTTGTTTGTTTAGTCATGCTGTTTTTCATTATCCGTGTTATCACAGATTGCGTCACTTTTTCATCCTTATTATTGATAAAACCATTATTATTATTATTATTACTATTATCATTACTACTATTATGACTAATTGCACAATTTATATTCACCATCTTATTATATTATAGACAAAAAACCATGATGATTGGTTTATATTTGAATTTTTATTTGTAAAGTTATGTAAGTATATTAGAGTTAAGCCTGATTATGAGATCTAACTGAAAACACATTAACACTTTTCGCTTAAATGTGTTGCTCTATAAACTCACTCCAACAATGTGCAGAAGAAGCATCAAAAATAGGACATCCTTCAGGTGAACATAGAGAAAACAGAGGTGATGAAGATTCCTGGCCAACACCACCAACAGCAACAACAACAACGAAAGACAACAATCAGCATAAATGGAAGGAACCTGAAAGAAACAACCTCTTTTACCTACCTGGGAAGCATCGTTTCAACTACAGGCCAACAGAACTGACGAGGATATCAAAGCAAGAATCGGAAAAGCAAGACAAGCTTTCACTACTCTCAAGTCTGTGTGGAGGTCAACAACACTACTCAGCATCAAAAGTAAGATCCGGATTTTCAACTCCAATGTGAAGTCATTGCTACTCACTATACGGATCAGAGACTTGCACTGCGCGTCATAAAGAGCATCTCAAACAAACTACACACCTTCATCAACAGCTGTCTTCGCTCAATACTTCGCTCAAGATCAGATGGCCGGCCAGAAAAGATCAGCAACAGGGAGGGATCTCTGGCAATGAGCGAACCAACCCATCAGGAACCGATTGTGAAACAAATAGGCAGGAAGAAATGGAGATGGATTGGCTGGTCATACTCTGAGGAAACAAATCATCAAGTGACATCACTAGACAAGCCATTGCTCGAGTGGAACCCGAAAGGGAAGCGGCGGCGACTTGGTCGTCAGTGCAAGGGTGACTTGGAGGAGGTCATGTAAAGAGGAGATGAAACCGTGTGGGCAGACTTGCAGCCGGGTGAAAACTCTATCAGAGAACCGAACGCAATGGAGACGCACCGCTGAAGCCCTATGTTTCTCTAGGAATTAAAGGAAACAATAATAATAATAATAACAATCTGCAACATTTACTCAATGCACAATAAAAAAAAAGTACTTAAAATGATACAAAATACATATACATATTTATACATATATTTTTTTTCTACAAAATAATTTTATGAGTATTTCTCGGAAATGCAATTGTGTCTCGTATATTGATTATCCCCAGTAGATATTGTAGAAGACGTTCAAAGCCAAGACCGAAACCCCCGTGTGGTACACTACCAGTAGTATTACGTAAATCAATATACCAGTGCAATTTATCTCTACAATGATTAGTATTCAGCGCCTTAATACGTGTCTGTAATACACTCGCAGAGGATTCACGAACACTTCCACCGACAAGTTCACCAATTCCCGGAAATAACAAGTCAGTACATTCAGCTGTAATACTACCACCACCCTCAGCTTTGTCATCAGTCAGCTGACAATAGAATGGTTTCAGTTGTGCAGGAAAGTGTGTTATGAAAACCGGTTGATCTCCACCGAACCAATCGAGTACTTTTTGTTCATCACTTTTGTTTAAATCATACGGTTCTTCAGTGCCGCTAACTTGTTTGTTTAAATACTTTATGACTTCATTGTATGTAACACGAGGGAATGGTTTGCAAAGAATTGATTTTATTGTCTGGCCGAAGTTTATTGCCGAGTTGATGAACCAATCAGAATCACGAAGATGATGGTGGTGGTCTCCAGCTACTTCAGGTTGTCTTCCGAGTAATGTTTGAATGAGTAACAAATCATGCTAGAAGGAGAAGCAAAAGAGATTTAGAAACACAAACACAATTCCATATTCATCAAAATTGAAAGTTGATTATGGAGATACAGTATAGAAAAATAAAGTGATAGGCAAAGTTAAAGTACAATTCTACTATGGGTAAAATTTATTTTGATAAAGTCTCACAGTGTTGTTATACAGAAAGCGATATTTACTGATGACGACGTTTCGAGCACAATTTATTACTTTTTACGAGTTGATCACGGATTGATATCAGTTAGAGAACCACTGAAAACCAGGGAGCACTGGACGGCTGTTTCCCCAGTCCTAGTTTGGGAATCATCGGCAGTACGCACTCCACAACAGGGGGTTCGAGCCCAGGATTTTCCGGTTACAAGGCAAGCTCGTATACCATTCAGCCACTGGGACCCGATTCAATGGCTCATGAATTCTAACTTCTACCAATTTGTGATTTAGCGCGACCCCAACCATTCTCGTTGGTGGGACATCCATCCACACACGTGACATCTGGATGGACCTCACTGGTCACGACTTCTCACTAGAACTCCAGGAAACTCTATTCTGTAGCAAGTCACTAGCGAGCATCAGATTAATTTTCTATAGTTTGATTTGTAAGGGTTAGTTATGTTTTTAGGGTCGCGCTAAATCACGAATTGGTAGGAGTTAGAATTCATGGGCTCGCCATTGAATCGGGTCCCAGTGGCTGAATGGTATACGAGCTAGGTACTCACACGACTTTCTAACTTCCATATATACATGCGTCGGCGGCACAGTGGTCAGGACTCTCGCCGACCATGCACATGGTCCCGGGTTCAATCCCCTGCCGACGCACACCTGATATCTATGGTCGGGCTGCAAAATTTGGGCTACCGATATCACATGCTGAAAATTACATACCTGTACCAAAAAATACGTTGTGGAATCAAGCTGTAATCAATATATACATATATACCACGCCTCACTTATCCCCACTTAATCTTATCACATCTTCATTAAAAGCGTATTTCATTTACTTCCCTTACAATCTAGCATTTGTTTTTACTAGCCTTTATCGACTACTACATCTACCTGAACGTATATATATATATATAATACTTTAATTCATCTCACCCATTCGTTATCTGTGAAGGCAGGCTTAGTAAAGTGCCTAACAAACCGAGCAGTAGCACTAAGTAGTAAAAGAAAAGACCTGAGTGATGAAATAAAACAGATGGAAGAAGAAGCGTTGGTATCAAATAACTATCCTATAAAATTCATTAGGAAGATCAGAAAAGGCCAAAAACAAAATAAAAATAATTGTGAAACTAGTAATGATAACATAATTAAGAGAGAATATAAGGCATCTACAGTAGTTTTGCCATAAAAGGCGGGGACATCTGAGACCCTCCCCACGTAGGATTCTCAATAAAGCAGGAATTTAGGTGGTGGCATTCAAACCTACAAACGCACTCAGGTAGGAAAAGCTTTTTTTTTTTTTTGATTTACAGCTTGATTTCCACACCGTATTTTCAGTACAAGTGTGGAACTTTCAGGTTAAAGGACCCTGTCAGTGGACCCCATTAAACAAAGTAATATAATTTGCAAAATACCTTGCAATGACTGTGAGTGAGATCAACTACATAGGTCAAACTAGTAGATCAGGAGTAGTGAGATTATTAGAACATAAGAATTTAGCTGAGGTTAAAAAGATTGACCCCCAGAAGATAAGTAATTCAGAAAAAAGCTCAGCAACTGCACTACATGCATGCATTAACACACAACCATACACAATAGGGTGGGAGAGGGTTAAAATTCCAAGAAGTAATCTAGATAGATGGAGCGCGAGAGAGAGGTTGATTACTGAATCCTTGTTCATCGAGTCTACACCCAACACATGCAACAGGAATGACTCATCACTCCTACTGCAAATATAGAAAATGCTACTACCCATCAAATAAAGCTATGGAAAATAATGGAATAATATAAACGAAGTTAGAAAGTTGTGTGAGTGAATGCCTTGCTATGATTATGAGTAGCAATGATAAATTGTGCTCGAAACGTTGTCATCAGTAAATATTACTGTATAACACCACTGTGAGTCTTTATCAAAATAAATTTTACCCATAATGGAATTATACTCTACCACCACAGGGTACAAGTTTTATTCTTATATTTTATTTATTTTATTTTTTTATTTTGATTTACAGCTTGATTCCACACCGTATTTTCAGTACAAGTGTGGAATTTTCAGCATGGATATCGGTAGCCCAAATTCAGGCCGACCATAGATATCGGGTGTGCGCCGGCAGAGGATCGAACCCCGGACCATGTGCATGGTCGGCGGGAGTCCTAACCACTGTGCTACCGACGCACATCAAAGTTATATCAAAGTTAAACTACCATAACCAAACCACAGTGACCTTGAGGAACCAATCAGAATTCAGATACGAGAAAACTCGCATAATCGTTGAAAAATATAATGAAAAATATTGTAAACTTGATATTAAAACTGTATAGCTGTAGCTTATGTGTTTAGGGAATGTCTCCCAGTCCCTACAGAGATGATGCATAGAGAAATCATGTCATGCGTGATATATCCATTCATCCAGGGATGACTGTAGGTCATGCTACATTGAGATCCATTGATATTTCTGACACTATTATTCAACCTACATCTAACTCTAACCATAATTCCTAATGTAAAAAGCCATAAATCTACCTAGCAGCATAGATTTGCAGAAAACCTACCTAGAGAATAAGTGGCATACTTTATTTGCCTTCTCCAAGTTCAGAAAGGCAGACATGATTTTATATGACATGACCTTCCATAGCATCCCCCTGTATCTGATTGGTGGTTCTTCAAGGTCAAATTTTGAAAGATCTTGACTTCGACTATGAGATACTTTAATTTCACCAGGTGATGTTTCACAAACGAATTCACATTATGGCGACTGTGGGGATATAGATTAATTCAATTTCAATTGTCAGGATTCATCACAAGCCAAATTTAGTTAGGGAGATTATGGAAGACTACCAGAGAGCCTTACACCATCTCTGGCGTAGGCGGGACATCCGACTATCAACCAAGGGACGTGTGTACTGCTCAGTGCTCAGTTCGCTCCGTCCTTCTCTATGGCTCTGAAACATGGCCAATACGAGGTTGACTGTTTTTGACCACAGATGTTTACGATCTCTTTCTCACGTTAGGTGGTATAATAAGGTAAGTAATATTTACGTTAGGCGTAGAGTGTTGGGCAAAGAGGGAAAATCAATCGAAGAGGCTATAAAGTTACATAGATTGAGATGGCTAGGTGATGTGCTGCGCATGCCTAACCATCGCCTCCCCTCTATGAGCATTACTAGTTGATATAGGTGTAGGGTGGAAAAGAATAAGCGGTGGCCAAACAAAAACATGGCCTCATCAATCCATGAAATCCTTGACAGTTAAACTGAGTCAGGTAAGGAGGGAGATGAAGACTTCCGGGTTGGGGCCCGGCCCTCGGGACTCTAAGAATCAATGGCTGGAGACAGACAATAGGTGACATGGCTCAAAATCGTTGTCAATGGCTTACGCAGATGTATTCAGTCTCTTTAACCTTCATATTCCTTTCTACCATCATTACTCATTCTGTTTCATTCTTATACTTGTCTAAATTCTATTGATTCTCTTCACTCATTTTCGTGTCTACCTTTGTGTGCTATTTGGAAAGTGGTAACTCGAACTGATGCACTTCGGTTCCAAGTTCTATGTTGAATCCAAACAGAGACAGACCAGAGAGCCTGGACAGCTGTTTCATCATACTCAGCCAGGGATCGAACCCAGAATCTTCGGGTTATGCGGTCAAGGTCGTTGATCATTCAGCTGCTTAAGCTGGAATTTAATAATCCCCTAAATCTCTGAAGGTCCCGGGTTCGAAAACTTTATGACGTAGTGGGTATGCACTATTGAAGAGCCTCAAAATAGAACGATACAGATACCCAATGTTCTTTGATGATTTTCAATAATTTCCCTAACTAACTGATGTTGATTGGTTCATGCTGATGAAATCAAACGATTGAAATTAAAAATCAATGATTGAGATCTTTCAGGTTACCCACAGATTAATATCAGTTAGAGACCCACTGAAAACTAGCACTGGAGTACGGAGCAGCTGTTTTGTCATCCTAGTCTTGGAATCATTGTCAGTCCACACCTACCACAGGGGTCCGAACGCAGGACCTTTTGGTTACAAGACTAGCGCGCTCGTAGACCACTGAGACTCAATGGGTGGATGTGTACTGTGAAGAGTCCCGAACTAGGCTGATGAAACAGTTGGCTATCCAATAATTCAGTGCTGGCTTCCAATGGTTCTTTAACTAATGTCAGCTCATGATGAAATCCTGCAACCAATCAAATAAAAAATCCCTACAAAATCAATACTTGAAAATTAATCTGATGCTCACTAGAGACTGACCCTATTCAAGCAGTTAACCTGGGGTTCTAGTGGGAAGCCTGGACCAGTAGGGTACAGCAGGCTGAATGAAGGTGGGGCAGTAACTCATCGAAGAAGACATTACGAAATGGTCGCACTATGTCATGAATTGGCAGAAGTTAGAATTTATGGGCTGGCTGGCTACTGGATCGAGTCCCAGTGGCTGATGAGTGGTCTACGAGCTCACTAGCCTTGTAACCAGAAGGTCTTGGGTTCGAACCTCTGTGGTGAGTGCGTACTGCCGAAACAGCTGTCCATCCAGTACTCCCAGGTGGTTTTCCAGTGCTTCTCTCACTGATATCAGCTCATGATGGAATCTTCCAACCAATCGAACAAACAATCCCTACACAAAATCAATACTTAAAAAACAAAGAACATTCCATTTAAACTTCAGAACCAACCAAGAAAAATGGCTACATTAAAAATGCAGTTCTTAAAGGACTCTAGTTAGATAAGTCGGATAGATAAGCAGGTGATTGTATAAACAATCGTTTCTAAACTAAAACAAACAACATTTACTGATGAACTTATATCACCATGCTTCAATATTAAATATAAGGAAATTAATTGTAATGTTTATGTTTGTGTGTGTGTGTGTCTGCGTGTCGTAGATGCAATAGGCAGGTACAATGTGAGTGTGCGTGTGCGTGTGTCTGAATGTGTATGTGTGCATTTGACAATAGATTCAACAGATAATAATTAATTGATTCCAGATACAAACAAAGGTAACTAATAGCAACGGTAAAATCGCGAAAAAACAAAAAATAAATAAACGGAGAAGAACAATAGCCAGGTGAATTTCTAACTTTACGTAGTAGTAGTAGTATTAAATTGAAATTTTTAATTTAAATTTTGAAGTAAATAATAATTTTTAGAGAAAGTAACAAGAGAGTAACTAAGTATTAGTTATCCAAAAAAGTCATCGAGGCTTCAAGCTTCTTGAGCTTTGAAATATTTATCGGTGGTCCAGCGTATTCTTGACTCCTCACTCCCCACAGTCCACCACAATAATAATAATAATAATAGAACATAGAGAAAACAGAAGTGCTGAAGATCCCTGGCCAACACCAACAACAAACAACAATCAGCGTAAATGGCAGGAACCTGAAAGAAACAACCTCTTTTACCTACCCTACCTGGGAAGCATCGTTTCAACTACAGGCCAACGGAACTGACGAGGATATCAAAGCAAGAATCGGAAAAGCAAGACAAGCTTTCACTACTCTCAACTCTGTGTGGAGATCAACAGCACTACTCACCATCAAAAATAAGATCCGAATTTTCAACTCCAATGTGAAGTCAGTGCTACTCACTATACGAATCAGAGACTTGCACTGCACGTCATAAAGAGCATCTCAAACAAACTACAGACCTTCATTAACAGTTGTCTTCGCTCAATACTACTCAAGATCAGATGGCCGGTCAGAAAAGATCAGCAACAGGGAGGGATCTCTGGCAATGAGCGAACCAACCCAGCAGGAACCGATTGTCCAACAAATAGGCAGGAAGAAATGGAGATGGATTGGCTAGTCATACTCTGAGGAAACCAACCATCAAATGACATCACCAGACAAGCCATTGCTCGAGTGGAACCCGAAAGGGAAGCGGCGGCGACTTGGTCGTCAGTGCAAGGGTGGGTGACTTGGAGGAGGTCATGTGAAGAGGAGATGATGAGGAGACGTGTGGGCAGACTTGGAGCCAGGTGAAAACGTTAGCAGAGAACCGAACGCAATGGAGACGCACGGCTGAAGCCCTATGTTCCTCGAGGAATTAAAGGAAACAGTAATAATAATAATTATACAGAGAGAGAATATATATGCTAGTGTCACCCTATCAAAATATATTTCTCTAAGGACATTAGAAACTAAAACATCAGAGGGACATATTAAAAAGACAAAAAAAACTGAGTTTTTACTAAGTACATAAGATGACAAAATTTCAATGAGTAATTTTATACTACTACAATAGCAACAAAGTGCTCTCTGTGCGTGTATGTGTATATAAGTGTGTGTCTGTGCGTGCGTGTGTGTGTATGTGTGTCTAACCTAGATTACACGTTTTATGTTAGAAAAGTGCATCTCATCTGTAAGCCAAATATACTAAACGACGTAATATATTGATTAACTTATTTTATTATTTTTTTATTTTTGGTTACAGCTTGATGCCACACCGCATTTTTAGTACAAGTATGGAATTTTCAGCTTGGATATCGGTAGCCCAAATTTTGCAGGCCGACCATAGATATCAAGTGTGCGTCGGCAGGGGATCGAACCTCGGACCATGTGCATGGTCGGCGAGAGTCCTAACCACTGTGCCACCGACGCAAATTAGTTTACAGTATATAATGGATTCCTCATGCAGTGAGTCATTCTTGATTTAATCAATTTTTGTGGTAATGTTCCTGTGTACTGGAATAGAAGTACATATAACATTGAAGTAAGATCATACAGAGAGAAAAGACGGAGGTAGGTAATGAAGATAACCAACCAACCGACCAACAGTAACAAAAACAGCCAGCGCCAATCACCGTCATCAAAGGGAGAGATTTGATAGAGGTTAATTTCCTACCCTCAGTTATCTAGGCAATCAGCATCGTTTCAACCACAGGCAGTCCGAACGGATGAAGATGTCAAAGCCAGTCGGTCAGAATCGGGAAGGTGAGATACGCCTTCATCAACCTGAAACCAGTTTGGAAATCTTCTGCACCAACTCACTCAGCCAACATGAAGAACAACATTCGGATTCTGTTCAACACCAATGTCAAGTTGGTCAGCTCTTATATAACGGATAAGAAACTTGCACTGCGTGTCACGAAAAGGATTTTCATCAACAGATGCCCACTTCGCTGGCTGGCTCCATAGTGAAGAACAAATGGCCAGCCGGCCAGTTAGAAAGAATTAGCAACAAGAAACTCCTTTGGCTGGGAACAAACCAACTAGCGAGAGCCGAGCACTCAACAAATATGTAGGAGAAAATAAAGATGGATCGGGCATTCATGGAGGAGGCCATCGCTTGATTGGAATGACAATGGGAAACAACGTGTGGATCGTCAATGCGAGGGTGACATGGAGGAGATCGTGTGCTGAGGAGGAGGAGGAGATGAGAGATTACCGTCAATCGTGGACCCAGGTGAAGAGGACAGCAGAAAATAGAATAAAGTGGAGATGTGCTGTAGAAGTCCAATAGGTTACACTCAGAACCCAAGGGAGAAATAATAAGAAAAAACATCACTCTTTGACGTCCGGCTGACGCCTAGCCGGTAGTAGGCACGGTAAAGAGGGAAGTTTGGAGGGCATGAGGCTAGTAATCATATCAACCAACAGTCTTCAGCTATTCATTCTTACAGGATTTTCATCATGAGATGACATTAGTTAGAGAACCATTGGAAAACCTGGGAATACTGGACAGTTGTTTCGTCCTAGTTTGGGACTCTTCAGCAGTACGCGCCCATCGGGATTCGAACCCAGGACCTTCTGGTTACAAGGCGAGCTCGTATACCATTAAGCCACTGGGACCCGATCCAATGGCCCATGAATTCTAACTTCTGCCAATTCACGACATAGCGCGACCCCTAGCATCATGAGGTCCTTAGTCAGGCAGTCTACACTCCTTTATCTAGTTGGCTTAAAGCAACTGGCAAAGACTACATGGATCGATTTTATATTTCGGTTTGACTACCTTTTAATTCTTTTCCAACGTAATCTAATGTCAGCTAGCATTGATCGTCGAGGAAGGCGATGGCTCGGGATGTGCAACACCTGTCCGTAGTTAATTCTTTTTTAACTGCTTCTAAGGCTGTCATATTGATTGGTATATTAGTATAAAGACTAGTTATATATCAAAACTAACCGTTGTTTCATCATTCTCTAGTTGAATGTCATTTAGTTTTCTTTTTCATCTCGTATGAATTAGTTAGGCTAGAGTGCTCTTAATACATTCACGTAATCCTACTCCAAAAATATGGCGGAGATATGTGGATGACACTTCCACTCACAGTGTTAAAAACAGAACATATCTATCTCTAGCTTCTTCACACATATAAACTCACTAGTAGAGAGAATAAAGTTCACATTTGAATCAGAAAATGAACAAGGAGAATTAACTATGGTGTTAGATTGTAAAATAAAACGAAAAGAAGAAGGCAAACTACACATTAGTGTTTACAAAAAACCAACACATTCTAATAGGTACTTAGACTTTAATTCGTCTCATCCGTTAATTGTTAAGGCAGGCTTAGTTAAGTGTCTAACAAACTGAGCCATAGCATTAAGTAGCACAAGAAAAGACCTAAATGATGAAATAAAACAGATAGAAGAGGCGTTGGTGTTGAATAACTATCCTATAAAATTCATTAGGAAGATCAGTAAAGGCCAAAAACAAAATAAAAATAATTGTGAAACTAGTAATGATAACATTAATAAGAGAGAATATAAGTCATCTACTGTAATACCATATAAGGAGGAGACGTATGAGACCCTCTCCACATAGGATTCTCAATAAAGCAGGAATTAAGGTGGTGGCATTCAAACCTACAAACTCACTCAGACAAGACAAGCTCTGTAGGTAGGTTAAAGGACCCTGTCGGTTGACCCAATTAGACAAAATAGTATATAATTTACAAAATATCCTGCAATGACTGTGATTGAGGTCAACTACATAGGTGAAACTAGTAGGTCGAAGGTAGTCAGATTGTCAGAACATAAGAATTTAGCTAAGGGAAGAATGATTGATCCCGAGAAGGTAAGTAATTTAGAAGACAGCTCAGCACTACATTGCACCACATGCATTAACACAAAACCACATAATAAGGTGGGAGAGGGTTAGAATTCTAAAAAGTAATCTAGGTAGGTGGAGAGAGAGATTGATTACTGACTGAATCCTGGTTCATCGAGTCTACAACACCCAACACATGCAGCAGAAATGACTCAATGCAAATACCAGAGATATGCGTGGAAGATATTATTACCACCAGTCAGTCAAATCAGAGGAGGATAATAAAATAATCTTAAATTGTATTCTATTTCAATTCAATTCACATACATTATAACATTCTAACAAGTTACTCATTTATTTTGACTATAAAAACACTCGTCTTATTTCCCATCTGATTGTATTTGATTGATAACACTCATATTATTATTTCTGAATGTACATTATCTCATTGATTTTTATTCAGATGTCTAATCATCAATTTCACTCATGTATATAAATGAAGGAAAAAAGTTGTGTGAGTGAGTGACTTGATATGATTATGAGCAGTAATAATTTGTGCTCGAAACGTGGTCATCAGTCAATATTACTGTAAAACAACACTGTGTGACAGTTTATCACAATAAAATCTTATCCATAATGGAGTTACACCTTAATCTCACTGATCAATCATTTGGTTTTGTACTGCTTAAACATTCTTATAATCTTAAATCAATAAATATCATATTTGAATTGTACATATATGAACAGGATAAACATCAAAGGGAAACCACTGCATATATATTCTAACACACACACACACCATCAACTTACCTGTGTATCAGTTAATTCACTAGACTCAACTAGAGTAGGATAAATGTCTAAGCATTCATTTAATATCATTTTAAGAATTTTTTCAATCTCTGAGCACAGTGAATCAATATTATCCAAATGAATTGATTCTGCTTCAAGCATATAAAACTCGGCAAGATGATGTCTTGTATGCGAATTTTCAGCACGAAATGTTGGATTCAGTGTATACACCTTAGGAGTTTTAAAGGAATACAAAAGAATACATTATATATATATTCAAATAAAGTATAATTATATTTCAATAGTTTACACACAATGATAAGTTTTGTTATTGGTAATATTTCGAGTAAAATTACTACTGCCCGTGTTCACAAACTGCATTAACCTTAAAAAAGCAAAAAAGCAGAAAAACTGAATGTAACGAAGGAGGAACTAAAAGCACTCCAAGACATAAAAGCAGACAAATCCATTGTCATTACTCAAGCAGACAAAGGAAACACAACAGTAATACTTAACAAAACGACATATAATGAAAAGATGAATGAACATCTACAGTCTGGACCCTATACCCTAATGACGAAGTCAGCTGAAACAATCACAAACAAAACAATGAAAGAAACAGCAAAGGTAGTCAGACAAATGAAAGAAATATTTGGTAAGTCAAAATGGTTTGAAATTATGCTAAAATCATGCAATATATCTAGAATATATGGCAAGATAAAATTGCATAAAGAGGGATATCCAATAAGACCGATTGTAGACTTTAGAAACACACCGACGTATATGCTATCAAGATTTCTCTCGACAATACTAAAACCAACAAGAGACAACTCAAAAGCTAGAATAGTAGATTCACTTGAATTAGTGAAGCGACTAAAAATCACTAAAATAGAGGAAGATGAAATACTAGTCAGCTTTGATGTAAACGGTCTCTATACGAAAATACCCATTCAAATGGCCATGAATGTACTGAAAGCGAGACTAAAAGAAGATAATGGCCTAAAAGACAGAACACAGTTATCCGTCGAAGAGATAATAAAAGGGGTGGAATTCTGTCTGAAAACAACATATTTCACATTCGAAGGGAAAATATACCAACAAAATGAAGGAGTAGCCATAGGATCGCCTACCTCACCAATAATAGCTGACATATTCATGGATTATTGGGAAGAGAATGCCCTTAAACCATTCAGGTCATCACTAAAATGTTGGTGGAGATATGTAGACGACACACTAGTAATAGTCAAAAAAAACGATATTGAGAAACTCTTCTCACACATAAACAGTCACGTCTACTGAATAAAATTCATTATGGAAATAGAGAATGAAATTAAGGAACTGCCTATGTTCAACTGCAAAATACAAAGAATGACAGATGGCAGCATTAAAACGAAGCTATATAGAAAAACTACAAATTCTGGAAGATTCCTTGATTACCACTAAGCTCATCCACTCACGGTAAAACGAGGATTAATACAAGGTCTTGCAGATAGAATACGTAGACTTACAACAACGCCAGAGGACCAGTGTAAAGAAATAAATGTCCTATTCAAAATGCTACTCGAAAACAACTACCCAAAAGAATTTATAAAAGATAATATAAAAATGAGAAAAAAAAGAGTAAAACTGGAGAATGACAAGATGGAAGCATGCAAAAAAAAAAGTCACAATACCACGTAAAAATGGTACATCAGAGGCAATGCAAAGAAACCTCAAAAATATCGGCATTCACACAACTTTTAAACCGACAAATCTAATCAAAAATAAAATAAATCAACTGAAAGATCCCATAAAAATGATGGATAAAAACAACTTGATTTACAAAATATCTTGTGCTGACTGTTCGACTAAATATGTGGGGCAAACGTCCAGATCACTCAAAATAAGAGTGAATGAACATAAACGCCTATCCAAAGGTCAACCAACAGGAACACAAGCCTACAAGAATCTTGAAAAAAATTCATCGATATCTGCACATGCATGGGACAAAAACCACAATATCGATTGGGACAATGTGTGTATTCTAAAAACTAACATGAACAAATGGAAAGAAAGAATTACAACAGAATCGATATTCATTAAAGTCATACCGGATACATGTAACAAGGGTGACTCAGTATAACTATCAACAACTTGGAATGTAATTCTGAATACAAACACATGAATGAACGTGGAATATAACTCAAATACAAACAAAAAAAACATGAATGAGCAAAAATAATGAACTATATATATGAGTATAAATCATAAATGTGTGAATCAAACAATTCCAACAGTGGTGTGAACACGGGTAGTAAGTAATTTTGCTCGGAATATTACTAATAACAAAACTTATCATTGTGTGTAAACTATTGAAATATAATTATACTTTATGTGATCTAATCCACAATGCTCAAACTTTTTACTGATTTATATTTATATATATCAGGTTTCAGCGGTCCAATGGGGGCAGTTTGTTTGCCAGTGTAGCTACACGGAAGGTCCAGCGTTCGATTCTCAGCCAATGGAGAATTTTAAAACCTTGTCTAGTTTACTACTAGCCAACAACTCAACTTCAGCATAGATGTATGTGCTAATGGACTTAACCCTAACTGCTGACTTCAGTGACTCAGGGATTGACTTGCTGCCGCCACCAGGGAATAATAGTCTCGTTGACTTAGAATATGCAGACGATATCGTCCTTCTAGGCGAGGATGCTGACAAAATAGAGCAGAGTCTTCTGAACACCTTGACAGGCAGCAATCTACGAATGTTTGGCATGCGATTCGCTCCTGCTGTCAAATATAAGATGATGTTACAGGATTGGACTACACCAACTCCTAGATTAGAAATAGGAAGTGAAGTGGTAGAGCATGTTGACTGCTTCACTTATTTTGGAAGTACCATCAGCCAGTGCCAGCGGGTTGATCTCTGACGAAATCTCAGCACGAATACAGAGGGCTAGTTTCGCATATGCCAGTTTATGCCGTCTCTGGCTTAGTAGACGTGATATCCGACTATCGACTAAAGGGCGTGTGTACTGCTCATCAGTCCGCTCCATCCTCCTTTATGGCTGTGAGACCTGGCCATTGAGAGTGAAAGACATGAAAAGCGTGGCTAGCTGTCTTTGATCATAGGTGTCTGCGTTCTATCTCCCGTGTGAAGTGGTATAATAAGGTGAACAATATTGAGGTTAGGCGTCGAGTGCTAGGTAGGTGGGAGGGTAAATCAATCGACGAGACTGTGAAATTACACCGACTGAGATGGTTAGGTCATGTGTTACCTATGCCTAGTCATCGCCTTCCTCGACTAACAGGCAATGTTAGTTAATATAGGGTCAGGCTGGAAAAGAGCTAGCGGCGATCAAACCAAAACATGGCACCAGTCAATGAAATTCACAACAGTTAGTCTAGGCCACGTAGGAAGGTGTAGACTTCCTGACTGGTTGGGGTCCTCAGGACGGTAAAAACCGATGGCTGGAAACAATTGGTGACATGGCTCAAAATCGTTCTCAATGGCTGGCACAGATGCATCCACTCCTTGTGACTTATGATTTCCAATTAAACTGTTTTGTTCTTCGTTATTACTATTCCTTTGTCTCACACCTCTCTATTTACTGTCTGTAATATGCATTTCTCCTACTTTCTTCTTTTGCTTTGTGTGCTACAAGGAGGGAGTGTGGCGACTTGAACTGCCGCACATCGGTGCAAAGTTCTATGTCGAAAACAGACAGACAGACTAGCCAACAACTAAAAACCCAGAAAAGTGAAAATTTTAGGCGTGAGGCTGGCAATCCTTCCACAACCACTGAAATTTTATGGCCTGGAGTCTTGAGTTACACACGGAATGCAGGAATGGATTACTTCACCTAATTGACCGTTGCTCCCCATCCTGTTGGGATGGATGGATGGATTTCTCACCGCCAATGACATTGGTTGGTGGCCGCGCTAAAATCATGAATTGGTAGAAGTTAGAATTAATGCACTGGTCATTGAATCAGGTCGCAGTCGCTGAGTAGTATACGAGCTAGCTGGCCTTATAACCAGAAGGTCCTGAGATCGGACCCTCAGTTGTGGAGTGCGTACTGCCGATGAGTCCCAAACTAGGACGGAGGAAACAGCCGTCTAGTACTCCAGTGCTGATTTTCAATGGGTCTTTAACTGATAGGAATCCCTGGTCAAATTCATGAGTGTAAGGAGAAAATAAAAATGCGTGAATTTCCACAGGATTGCACTGTACTTTCAAACAGTAAGTTGGAGAGTAAATAAACAAAAAGAAAATGGATAAGAAGAATAGGAGGGGAAACCAAAAAAATTGAATATTATTGCTCAATCTTTTGCATTTGAAGATTTCAGTCACGAATTGACATCAGTTAGAGGCCTATCATGATTAGAACTTGTAACCAATCAAATCTTTGCAAAAACAGTCAACCTTTTCATGTCTTCAACTGGTATTGGCCATGTTTCAGAGCCATAGAGAAGGACGGAGCAAACTGAGCACTGAGCAGTACACAACTCCCTTGGTTGATAGCCGGATGTCACGCCTATGCCAGAGGCGGCGTAAGTTAGCGAAAGCAGCCCGAGCTTTTTGGATCCGTGCTGAGATTTCGCCACCAATCAATCCGTTGGTGCTGATACAACTTCCCAAATAGGTGAAATGGTCAACATGTTCTATCACTTCACTCCCTATCACTAAACTAAGCTAGGAGTTGACGTAGTCCAGTCATTCCTGTAGCAGCATCTTACATTTTACAGGGGCGAATCGCATGCCAAACATACGAAGATTGCTGCTCAAGGTGTTCAGAAGACTCTGCTGTATTTTGTCAGCATCCTCCGCTAACAGGCCTATGTCATCTGCATATTCTAAGTCCATAAGACTATTCCCTGGTAACAAGTTGATTCCTAAGCCATTAAGTTCATTTAAGGATACTTCCATTGGTATATCTATGATGAAGTTAAACAGAAATGGGGAAAGTGGACATCCCTGACGGACACCACTGGTTGTTATCAATTCAGATGACAATTCCCCATAAGCCCTTACACGGCTACATGAGTTTGAGTGATGGTCAATAGCGACTAGCTGTCTATATACACGAAGTTAACTGTAACTTCTAAGGAGAACTCTCGTAACCAAATGGAGTTCACCAACAAGTCGGGAAAGAGAACGGTTGCTCGCTTATGATCTTGACTGACGGTTGTGTGCTGTGTATAGCGCGAAATGGGCAGAAGTTGGAATCTACCCGTCATTAGATC